GGTAGGCTCTGTTTGCTAGAGAGAGACACGATTTCTTTAAAATGCTCTGTTTGGTAGCAGAGGCATAATTCCTTTAAGAAGGTTCTTAGTAATTCAGCAGAAAGAAAGAAAGAAAGAAAGAAAGAAAGAAAGAAAGAACAGACAAACACATTTCAAACTGGTGGCTTCCTGGGCCATGATGCCAGCATAAAATCTGACTTTTTCAGGAGGCCAAAAACTTGAATAAGGTTTGTGGACAGCCTGCTGCAAGTTACTTGGTGGCAGCATGGGCCAACTCTTACCAGAGTTGAGGTGATGAGTGTGGCTCCCACCCAGCAGCCTCAGAGGCAATGAATGAACTGCCATGTTGAACTGGGCAGAGCCAAAAGGCAAAGTAGCCTTGTCCTAGTAATGCAGGTTAGCATTTTAAGAAGCACTTCTGTTCAGAAAACAATTTCAGATACACAATAAGACAAATTCATACATAAAAACCTCTAAATGAGACACCATGTATATAAAAAATTTACATAGTCTTGAGATAAAGAAGAAAAAGAGTAAGGAGACAGTAAATATAATATAAACAGCCAGACACTCATATATTAAAGGAATAAATAAAATAAAATAAATATTAAACATATAGAAAATTTAATAGAATAAGAAAAATAAGCCACATAAAGATGGAATATACACAGAGAATCTGGATTATATATATTATTGTATTTTCTTTGAATTTTTTTAGCCATAAATGTTTATTAAAAGGAGAAAAAGAGAGGGGGGGAGAGAGAGAGAGGGAGGGAGAGAAGGAGGGAGAGAGAGAGGAAGAGAGAGGCAAAGCCCCGTGTGTACACCGAGAGAGAAAAGCAGGAAGAAGGTTTCTTTGAATTTTTTGACTGTGAAGAAACTAAGAACAGAGAGACAGTTGATTGTACAGGCTGCTTAGCTAAGTCAAAATATATTTTTTAAAGGTACCTTGACTTCAGAATTTGGGTCTAAGGTTTTGTTGCTTTGGAAAAGAGGTTCTTCTTTTGTTTCCATAGAAGATGAGAACCTACAGATTTCTTCCAAACTAATGTGGTTTGATGGACCAAGACTCCCCGAAAGATCACAGTAAACACCCCCCAAAATTACTTCACCCAACAAAAAGCAGAAAGCAGTTTGGAGAGAATAATGCTCAAATTCCCCAAATATTGTAAATAGATGTTTTACATTTAAAGGGGGATATTCTATAGAGACAGATACTTTAAATTGGTGTATCTTCGTTTATTGCTAAAAAACTTTAAGGTCAAAATTATATATATAAATATATATATAAATATAAATATATATATATATATATATATTTAACTCTTAATTAAGGTATTGTATTTGTGCCGCTCATTTAAAATGTAATATATAATCAAGAAATATAGGTTAATAAAGAGTTATCTATAATAGTTAAGCTTGTAATCATGTTACTTAGGTTTTCTAGATACACAGAGGTATATTTCATTTAGATAGGGACTCTTCTATTCTTTCAGAGACCATCAAATAAGGCATTTAAAATGTTTTAAGAAACAGCCGGGCGTTGGTGGCGCACGCCTTTAATCCCAGCACTCGGGAGGCAGAGGCAGGTGGATCTCTGTGAATTCGAGACCAGCCTGGTCTACAGAGCTAGTTCCAGGACAGGCTCCAAAGCCACAGAGAAACCCTGTCTCGAAAAAAAAATGTTTTAAGAAATTATGACTTTTCATGACAATGAGATACATCTGTTCCCGCCAGTACCAAGAACTGCAAGAGGAAGATAGGTACCAAAGAGGCTCCTTATATAGTTTGGTAGACATTTGGGCAAGAACCTGCTCTTGCCTAGAGTGCTTCATGTTATACTGTATGAACTGGACTTGCAGGATCCCAAATAAATGACTGCTAAACTTGTCTAAAGGTGATAACATCTTTTGGGGTTCCTGTTTCATGAAAGAGTCTGCCAGACATTCTGCAGGACACAGAAGAAAGCAACTGATTGACTTTGCCATTACGATGCAGAACAGATCTTCAAATTTCCTGCTTCATGGAAAAGTCTGCTGGATACTATGAGTCTGTAGGCTGAAGATGGATGCTCAAATGTCACAGAAGAACTTTGGGTGACTGTCAAGGCAATAAGATGTCTCTGTCAATTCTGGAATTTTGGAAGTTGCTTACAAAGAACTTCCTGTAAACTTAGGTAATATAATATTTTTCTGTGGTCTTTGTTGGAGTTGAAAGATAGATAGTTATAATTATAATTTTCCTTAATTATGATAAAAGATAGTTAATGTAAATATTGTAACTCTAAGTCTTGCTTGATACCTGTTTAGTTATATGTAATTTTACTATCTTAAAGATAAAACCTTCCTTTTTATTTAGACAGGAAAGGGGAAATGGTGTAAGAGGTCCTTTATTATATGCATTGCTTTTGATGTATAATGGAAGCTGTTTTGGCCTGTGATAAGGCAGAATAAAGTTAGATGGGAAAACTTAACTGACCACTGGGAGAAAGAAGACAGACTCAGGGATATGCCATGTAGCCACCAGAGGGGAAACATGCAAGCTACCAACCAGGAATTTGCCAGTTAGTCACAGCTAAGTGGTGATACACAGATTAATAAAAATGAGTTACGTAATATATAAGAGTTAGCTGAAAGTCCAACTAAGCTATTGGCCAACCAGTATTGCAAATAATACAGTTTCTGAGTAGTTATTTCTGGTCTGGGCAGCCAGAAACAAACAAGCGGTCTCCCCCAATGATGGTACAATTCATGGGCAGAAAGTACACACAGAGAGAGAAAACAGGTTTGAGAAACACAGTAAATTCAATCTGATGAAAATTTCTTCAGATGAAGAGCCTATGAAAGACTAAGACAAGTGACTAGTTTTCAAGATTCACAAATCACAGAGAAAGATCAAAGATTAAAGGAGGTTGAACTGAGGAATCCTACAGGGGTAGACAATGCTTGGGTTATTAAATCAATATCTCAGTTTCAAATATGGGATATCCTACAAGATACTTATATGAAAAAACCCAGTGGTTCACAAAATTACAAAAGCTATTGCCATTGTTTTTTATAGATTGTCCACCATTACTATATTGCAAGATCATATTAGTGAACATACCATATAGTTTCAGGACAGAAAAACAGTCTGGAGTTGATGAGAAAACCATCCAGCTGCTGGTAAGAATTCATAATGCTGGAAAGCACTTTGCAGGCTGCTGAGAGAGAAGCCATCAATAGCCCTGCCCTGCAGCACCAACCAGTCCCACAAGATGACTGCTGGTGCAATACTGATATGAAGTTTATGGGGATAAACAATTAGATTCTGATTAGATTTGAGGCCTCCTTCATCACAGAAGAGAATTCATGCATGGTGTTAGAAATGGGTTTTAACTCATAGTTATGAAGGTCATAGGCCCTAAGGAAGACCCACTCTTCTAGTTTTGGTAAATATCCATGATATCAGACTACTTTCTAAATATCTATGTTTGTAGCCATCTCTTGTCCACCTTGGTCAGAAAAGGTTTTTTGCAATGGGCCCAAGATGAATGAGCAGGGGTCTTATAAAAGCAAAACAGACAAATTCAGCACTTTCCTTGGAGTAGCTTGAGTTAGCTGTTGGCAAGCATGGCAGGACATTAACTTTGAATAAGTAAATGGCAAAATAATCTCAACAAGTGTTTTTATTTAATAGGAGATCAGAAAGCCTTGTGATTACAGAAGCAGAACAGCACAGGTTAGAAAGAGTTCACGTTAAATATTGGCCTCCGTTTTACCCTAAATTGAAGTCAGGATATAGAAAAGGTTTTCTTGCTTCAATCTGATACCATAATATTTTAGTTGGGTTTGGGATGAAGAAGCCACAGCCATTGGGCAAGGGCCATAGCAGCAAGACCCAGGTCCTTGCTGGGGCAGGAGTTAAAAGTACTTCAGTCTCTCTTTCACCCTGACCACTAGCTTTTCCATGTTGTCAGTGCCTGCCTGGACAAGCTGAGTTGCAAGCTCCTGCTGGCCTGAGACAGAGGCAGAGCCAGAGCAGCTCATGGCATGTAACTCCCCGCACTGAATTCTGTGCCTGAAGACCCATCCCTTTCACTCAAATATCAGGGAATCGTAACTTACTGTGCTCTCCCTCTGGTCAGAGGAGTCTGACAACCCTAACTTGACTGCTATCTTAGAGATACTCTTTTGACTTATCATTCGGAAGCAGTATGGCTGGGCTGGTGGGTGATATTTTAAATAGTAGGTTACAGGTAGGGGCCAAAGAAATGCCTGATAATGCATTACTTGGAAGTTGTACATCTACCTGCTGGGTCCCCCGTAGAGTAGAGTGGTTAGGGATAGGTTCTGGATGAGATTCATGTGGTCTGCTTCTTTTTTAGAGTGTCTCAGGTACACTGGCCACAAACAAGTCATCCAGGGTCCCTGTACATGGCAAGGACCTTCTTTGTAATCTGTAGGATGAGGTATCCTCCCTCTATCTTCCTCCTCTGTTTTGTTTCTTGAGGGAGGAAAAACTGAGTCCCATGAGAATCAGGAGACCTCAGGGATTGGAGGCAGAGAGGGACGACTAGACCCCCACAGATGATCTCATGTTTCTTTATTATGCTCTATCACACTGTGAGATGAGTGCTGTATCCTTCTGAGAGTCACTTATCAAGTGAGTCTGAAACCAGCGACAGCATCACAGTGAGAGCCTGTTTTCAAAATAAATATATAAGCCCTTCCCAGAACTAAAAGCACTTTGATTTGTTGAATGATGCAACAGTTCACCATTTTGATAATTTTGTTTGCGATACACTGTATTCCATGTCGAAATCCCCTCTCCTAAAACTAACTTCTGTTTCTCCAATAAGCAGTTTTCTGTGCTGTGTTGGGGGGGGGGGTGTAACAAACCATCTGATAAACACAATTGAGATACCAACGGCTTGTCTGAAATTGCCCAAGATTGAAAGCAGTGATTCTTCTGTTCTGATTTCAATTTCAGTCTTGCTGTAGCTGAGATTCGGCTCAGAGATGCCTGCTGCAGTGACTCAAAGTGCTTCCATGAGCATGCTAGAGACAGAACCCACTAACACAGATTTCCAACAGGAAGGAGAAATTGGTACGTATTTGATGCAACAAGAATCAAAATAAAAGAGGATGGAAGAGCTTCACCAGGGTCTCACAGAGAAATAGAGACTCCTGTCTTGTAGCCTGTAACTCTGGGTCTCTGGAGAAGTGGAGATGCTTAGAGGCCTCTTGCATATTAGTTACTCTATCTGAGTATATAATACTCAACTATTTCTGAGCAAGAGAAATGAACAAGGAATCAAATTATAAGAGCCTAAAGCATACTTTTTGTTCAGTTGAATTTTTAGATTTTGATTGATTGTTTTGTTTGTTTTTGGTGTTTATGTGTGTGTGCCTGTGTGTATGCCTATGTGCATGCCCAATTGTTTATACATGTCTGTCTGCCTGCATGCATGCATGCATTCATGTATTAGTGCCTGCCTACCTGCCTACCTGTCCAGGCACCCGTGTGTGCACGTGTGTGTGTGTGTGTGTGTGTGTGTGTGTGTGTGTGTGTGTTTGTTTGTCTTTAGATTTCTAGTCCACTATGTCTGGTAATTTGAACACTGGTGAATTAAGAAAGTTGCTGTAGACCATGCTCCTTCTGTCTCAGAGTGAAGGAAACTCTAACAGCACAGGTTTCAATGTGCACAGCTAAGGAAGTTTCCTGTGGGCTGGGGCCTGGGGTTTGCAGATCTAGTGTGATTCAAAGGAAATCTGGGAGTCACAGCAGAGGTTGAACCCCTTACTCAAGCAAACCTTCTGGTACTTCTGGTTCATGGAAATATATGGAATGGAGAATCCTGTGGAATTTCTGTTAAACTGTCTTCTGTATTTTGGAAACAAACTGTTTCATTGTTTTATTTTTCTTCCTGTAATATCTCTTCCTTACTTTAAATTTTGTTTGCTTACTTGTTTGTTTTAATGAAAGCATATGGACTTTCTGGAAAACAGTGTTTATAATTACAAAAAAATACTCAGGTCATGAGTAATGTAGACATTTTTCACCTTAGTCAAATAGTCCGATATATTAAACGATTTTCATCCTACAAAGAGAATAACGTTCTTGCCCATATTTATATGAGAAAAGGTAGCTAAGACAGATAATTTAATGTTGGGGTTGGGGGGATGTGTGATATGTTCTATAATAAATATTTAGGATTTAGTTTCAGAAAAGAATAAGAATTAAAGAAAGGAAACAATAACAATCACAAGTACAAGTAAATAAATAAATAATTTTCACAAATGAAAGATCAAAATGGATTTAGGGGGACATTTTAAGAAAAAGTTGCATATTAATATATTGAAAAAGAAAGCCATTGTAGAAATCCTGATGCACTGAATTCAAGGAATATCTTTGTTTAATGTACAACTGGAAAGACAAAGAATGAAAAGTTTCTATGGAGCCAAAATCCAAAGGACACTGTATAAGCTGTCCCAGAGTCTTCGGAGAGACCAACATTTAGCAAGCAGTTCTTCAGAAAAAGAAAGAAAATGTGCAGCTTTGGTGGACCTAAAGATAGTGAAGCAGAACACAGAGAAGCTAAGATCTGATTTAGAACTCAGAAAGGCCAGTGAGCTTCATTGACTGCTTGGCTGCAGCTCCACAGGTGACCGCACAGACTGGAGTTCCAGGGAAGAAAAAGCACATTATCTCAGTAGAGAATACTTTTTCTGACACCTCTTTTACATGGCTTTTGGTAAATTAGCCTTGCTGAGGGGTGGTCTCTTGTACATGTGATTGACAGGCCCAGCAGGACTAACTCTTATGACAGGACACAATGGTGTGTTTTGTCTACCCAGGACAAGAAGCAGGTTCTGTTCATCTGAGAGGAGGAAATAGACTTCAGGGGAGCACTGATATTTCCAATGACCTCAAAGACTACTATAACATTGCCTGCTCAAGATTCTCCAAGATTATTCACATTATGGGCTAACTGATATGAGAACTGATATGGTGTGTCTCTGCTAGGAAGATCTAGGGATCTATTCCTAAAGCTGCTCAGCAGACCAGCTTAGTGTCAGTTACAGCCTCATGCACAGCATCCACACAGGGAGCTCTCTTGGAAGAAAGGAAATAGAGACTCAGTCACTTCTGAACTCTGACCTAGAGATAACCAAAGATATTTCGTATTTCAAAGAGAATTGGAACAGCTCACCATTGGGACCTCTACTTCTAAATCTGTTTGACCCATCAAGGTCATTCAACCTATGGGCCCACTACCATCTGGAATTACTTTGCCTTCTCTGTTACCAAAACGATGGCCTCTTACAGTTATTGATTTGAAAGATTGTTTTTTCACTATACCATTACAAGAAAAGGATAGAGAAAATTTTCCCTTCACAGTGCCTACTTATAATACTTATCAGCCTAATAGGAGATATCAATGGACTATACTCCCACACGGTATGCTCAATAGTCCTACATTGTGCCAATATTTTGTAAGTAAGCCATTGGAAATAATTCGTAAACAATTCCCCAAGTCCATAATTTATCATTACATGGATGACATCTTGTTATCTGATTCAAATAAAGATACCTTAGAAAGGATGTTTGAAGAAGTAAAGAAAGTCTTGCCTAGGTGGGGATTACAAATTGCCCCTGAAAAGATTCAAAGAGGAAATTCTATTAATTACCTAGGTTACAGAATAGGGTTAGAGAAAATTAAAACGCAAAAGGCACAAATTAGGAGAGACCGGTAAAGACTCTTAATGACTTCCAAAGATTGTTAGGAGACATTTCCCGTCTACGACCAGCTGTTGGGATAACACCTGATCTAATAGTTCATTTAAACAAAACCTTAGATGGTGATAAAGATTTGAATAGTTCAAGAAAACTGACAGCTGAATCAGAAAAGGAGCTGACAATGATTGAGGAAAAATTACAGGAGGCACATGTGGATAGGGTGAAACCAAATCTTAGCTGCATCCTAGTCATATTGCCTTCCAGAATTTCTCCTACATGGATTCTAATGCAAAGGGAAGATATTATTTTAGAGTGGATAGTTATACCGAATAAACCAAGTAAAAAATTAAAAACTTATGTGGAAAAACTCTCTGAATTAATTATAAAAGGTAAGCTGAGGCTTCATCAACTAGCAGGTATAGACCCAGCAGAAATTATAGTGCCTTTTACCATTGAAGAAATAAAAAAGTTATGAGAAGACAATGAACCGTGGCAAAGAGCTTGTGCTAATTTTTTTGGGAGAAATTAATAGCAACTATCCCAAAAGTGGTAGACTTAACCTCATAAAGAGAACTTCTTGGATTCTTCCTAGAATTGTACGTGATGCTCCAATAACTGGAGCCCGTACATTCTATACTGATGCAAATAAATCAGGAAAAGCAGGTTACAAGTCAGATGAATTGAGTAAAGTGGTACAAAGCCCTTATAATTCTGTCCATAAGGCAGAATTATATGCCATTGTTATGGTGCTAAAGGATTTTAAAGAACCTCTTAATATAGTGACAGATTCACAATATGCAGAAAGAGTTATCTTGCATATTGAAACCGCTGAATTTATACTAGATGACACAGAGTTGACTTCATTGTTTATCCAGGTACAAGACATAATCAGGAACAGGCTTTGTCCGATGTACATAACACACATCTGGTCCCATACAGGTCTGCCTGGTCCTCTATCACAAGGTAACACTGAGATTGATCAATTATTAATTGGAAGCATGTTGCAGGCCTCAGAATTTCATAAAAAGCATCAGGTCAATAGTAAAGGCCTAAAGAAAAAATTCTCCATTACATGGCAGCAAGCTAAGGACATTATAAAGAGATGTCCTACTTGTTCTTTCTATAATCAGACATTGCTGCCTGCAGGGAGTAACCCAAAGGGTACTAAGAGAAATGAAATCTGGCAGATGGATGTGTTCCACTTTATGGAATTTGGTAAATTAAAATATGTACACCACACCATAGATACATATTCAGGTTTTCAATGGGCTACTGTCCTGAGCTCAGAAAAGGCTGATTCAGTAATCACACATTTTTTCGAAGTTATGGCCATCATGGGTATACCTGCACAAATAAAGACAGACAATGGTCCAGCATATGTATCTAAGAAAATGAAATGCTTTTTTGATTATTATAATATAAAACACATTACAGGTATACCAAATAATCCTACAGGTCAGGCAGTTATAGAAAGATCAAATCGTACTATAAAGGATATGCTGAACAAACAGAAAGGGACCGAAAATACCCCCAGAAATAGATTACATAATGCTTTATTAACCTTGAATTTTCTTAACACTAAGGAGAAAGGAACGACAGCAGCAGAAAGACATTGGATAATGGAAAAGTCTGCTGAACTAAATCAACCAGTTTATTTCAAAGATGTGCTGACCTCTCAATGGAAGCCAGGAGATGTGCTACCTTGGGGAAGGGGTTTTGATCTTGTTTCCACAGGAGAAGAAAAATTGTGGATACCATCAAAATTAATAAAGGTTCGATTTGAAGAGGGGAAACCTCTTGGAAAGGAGAAATAACAGCTCATCCACAATGATGATATTTATACAGGTGGTAAGAAAAACATATAGAATGAGGGCTGGGTTCTCTTTTTATCTCTGCAGGAAAACACTCATCTTCAGAAAATTCAAGGGACCCTGGATGTTTGAATACTGAGAGATGGAAACTATTTACAACCCAATAAGATTTAGCAAGAAAATCAAATAGGTTTCATAAATAAAATTATTCTACTCTTATCTTTAAAAATGTAATAATGTGCATTTATTTATAAATATATAGATCTGGTTTTGAAGTTGGACTCTGGTTCAGTCCATCTCCAAATCCAAGCCTGTTAGTAAGAGAAAAACCCAGAGTTTCTGGAGTTTCTGTCTCATGTCAAGAGCCATGATATGGGACAGAAAGAAATATGAGTTTAGAAAACATCTTTGCTTTTCTTCATATCTATTATACTTTTCATTGAATATATCTATCATGCCTTTCATTGAATATATATATATATACATATATGTGTGTGTGTGTGTGTCTATATGATTAATGTTTAAGTTTTTCACAAATCAAAATGAGTTTTTCCTGAAGTGATATTTGAAGTTTCCAGGAAGAAGATGGGGCCCTATAACAACTCCACCTGGTTGATATGACGTCATGATACTGATAGCGCTACTACAAGACCTATTTTGGGTACTAGCTGCACAAGACGATCCCAACTTGGTTAGCTGAAATGGTGCACATCTTATACAACATTTTGGCCAGACCTGCACAAGTTACTCAGAGACTATTTGCAATTTTAAGACATTGATCTTGAAATTTAACCATCATTTTACTTTCACAGGATCCCCCAGAAAGAACGCCGCCCTCATGACAGCTGGAAGTAATTCTAGAGGATGACGTCCCCTCTCCCAGTGAAGTTTGCCTTTGGGTTGAGGGACATCATTTAGGGTTTGGGAGGTTGGGGGAGGAATTTTATAAGCTCAGGGATCATTTTGAAAAGAAAAAAAAAAAACAAGAGGGATGATGGGATAATACATTTGTAAGTTACTGTTTTTAGACAAATATATTGGTATTGATTCTTGTATATTGATACAAAGTTAAATTATATTGACTATTGTATGCATGCATGTTTCTACCTCTGTTTAAAATATTTTTATGTATTGACATATATTGTATTGATATGTATATATTGTATATATTTACCATATTGCAGTGTACATTTCTACCTCTGATTAAGATACTTATATATTGTTTGTGTATTGATATATATTTACCATACTGCAATGTATATTTGTACATTGTTTATATTTGGAGGTCATTGTCCTCCTTTGTTTCACAGTCATTTATTTTCTTAGTCTTTAAGTTAGATAGATATTGAGAATTATATAGATTAATAGTCATCTAAGTTTGTCATTTATAATTAGACTAATCAGGTTCTCTAGATATATAAAAATTATACTCAGGATAGATAGATAATCTTCAACTTCTTCAAAAAGCTGTAGAAAATGGCCTTTAATCTAACTCAGAGTTTCAGGATAGTGGGACATCATTGCTCCTGGCAGCACCAATCTATTCCTGAGAGAATGTTGAGCACCAAAGACATTCCACTTGGAGCCTTTCTTTTTGGCAGAACTGGCCTTGGGGCAAAGAAATGCCCATACCTCAACCACTGACAGAGATACCGAGCATCCATCAATGGATAAAACAGGACTGTCATATCCTGCCAAGACAGGGTAAGATAGTTTTGAAAAGTTACTTCCCTTTTGAAAACGGTATGTCAGTTATGTTAGGCCTTAGCCAAAGTTGGTTGCTTCAATGCTGCTAACGTGATTTTGGTTGATTGCCCAGGTAGCTAGTTGTCTATGTGATTTGTTGCATGTTTTGGAAGTTGTTTTACTGAACTTCCTAATTACCCAGGTAACATTATTTCCCTCCTCAGATCTTCGATGGGGTTAAAGACTATATAAATGTAGTTACTTTTCTCTCATGACTTGGTCAAGTTATTTATTATACAAGACCTAAGCTAGTTAGAATAGGATATTTCTACTTATTGTATTTAATTTTGTAGTAGGTTTAGAACTTTCTTACTTAAAAAAAAAAAGGGAGGTGTTGCCGGAGATCCTTCGACTCCTCCAGCCAATAGCCACTAAGATACAAGCCCATTGGGGCGTGGTCTCTCTCTTTAAAAAAGCAGCCACTTCCCTCCTCACTCTTCTCTTCCTGCGCTATTTCCGGCGACTAGACTCCTTACTGATTGCACAGAGGGCTGTTGTCTGGGACGGTTATCTGTAATTTTTCCCCTTTAAATAAATACCACCCTATTAATCATAATTCCAAACTGGTGTGGCATTGTTTGTGACTTACGCCTTCACGTCTTGAGATTAATGTTCTCATATTTATATTTCGAGATAAAGAGATGCAAGGAAAATATCTCAGAATGATCTCTGCTGTGACTCCTGTAAAGCTATACTGCTGCTATGTATTGAACATGGGTCTCACTGTGGCTGTAATTACACTTGTAGCTTTGTCAGGTAAGTGACTTATTCTGAAGCATTCTCCTCACATTTACATTGTCGGTTATACTTATAAGCTGATACTGTATGGAAGGACTCATGCTAACGACTCCAGAGAAAACACGCCAGTAATTCGTGTACTGTGGGAACTTAGGGTCTAGCAGGAAGATACACAGCACAGGCTGTGGTGTGCACAGGAGGCCAGGCTCAGAATCCCTGGTAAGTGGACATTCAGTAATTCTAGAGCAGTGGTTTTAAACCTTCCTAACACTGAAAACCTTTAATATAAATTCTCATTTTGTGGTGAACCGAAATCATAAAATTATTTTCATTGTTATTTCATAACTGTAACGTTGTTACCATTGTGAACTGTAATGTAAACATCCAATATTTCCTATGGCTTAGACACATGCCATGTGGGGTACCTATTCAAGGCAGAGAAGAAGGAGAGGAAAACTAAGCAGAGATTCAAAAGGAAGCTGCTGCAGCTAAAAAGAAGTGAGAACAGTGAAGAGTAATATCTTTGGGGAAGGTACAGGAAATCCCACACCCATAACTCCTGGTTTCAGTTAATATCTTCAACCACAATCTGAAGATATTAAATAGAAAATTCCAAAACATGTGATTCCTATGCTTTTAGCTGGAGATTGTTCTGAATAATGTGATAAAAATCTTGAATAACTTTGCTGCTGTAGCTATAGTGTAGTAATAAAAGCGGTGGCGGGGCTGTGTCCCCAACACCCCAGCCACCTTCTAGCTTATGCCCAAAATAACAACACACAAACTGTATTCATTTAAACACTGCTTGGCCCATTTCTATCTAGCCTCTTCTAGGCTAACTCTCACACCTGGACTAGCCCATTTCTAATATTCTATGTAGCACAGCTAGGTGCGCTTACCGGGAAGATTCTAGCCTGGGATTCCATCCTGGGTCAGAGCTTCATCACATGTGTCTGCTCAGGAGCCAGGAGCATGGTGTCTCTCTGAGGTGTCTGCCCCCAAGAGGAGAGCTGTGGAGTCTGAGCTCACTTCCTCTTCCTCCCAGCATTCTGTTCTGTTTTCTCCACCCACCTGTGTTCTAACCTATGAGGGCCAGCCAAGCAGTTTCTTTATTTTTTTAACCAACGACCTTCCTCCATCATTTCCCCTTTTTCTGTTTAAACAAAAACAAAGGAAGGCTTTAACATTAACATAGCATAATTACATATAACAAAACAGTTATTAAGCAAGAATTACAGTTACAATATTTATATCTATCTTATCTTTTATCATAACAATGGAAAACTATAACTATCTATTTTTCAATTCCATCAAAGACCTAAGTAAATGAGAAGTAAGCAACTTACAAAACTCTAGAAATCACAGAGACATCTCGATGCCTGGCCAGTCACCCAAAGTTCCTCTGTACCATTGGGGCATCAATCTTCAGCCTTCAGGCCCATAGTATCCAGCAGACATTTCCATGAAGCAGGAAAATTCAAAGTCATTTCAGTCACTATCTGTTGTGTCCTGAAGAATGTCTTGCAGACTCTTTCATGAATCAGGAACCCCGAAAGATCATCTCACCTTTAGGCAAGTTCAGTAGTCCTCTCTCTGTGGGTTCTCTGTGTCCAGTTCATGCAATAGTCCAGGCAAGAGTAGTTTCTTGCCCAAATGGCTATCAAAACTCCATAAGGTGCCTTTTCGATGCCCATCTTCTTCTTGAAGTAGATTGGTGCTGCCAGGAGCAGACGTGTCTCATTGTCATGAAAAGCCCTAAATTATTAAAACATTTAAAATGCCATATTCTATAATCTTTGAAAAATATGAAGAATGCCTATCTAAAATATATCTATGTACATCTAGAAAATCTTAACTAACATGACTACAAACTTGGCTATTATGATTATCTATTAACAATCTATATTTCTAATTATATATTACATTTTAAATGAACTACACAATCACAGTACCTTAATCAAGATCAGAAACACATATACATATAACAAAATTGACCTTAAATTTAAATCACTAAAACAAAATCCATATCAATGTAAATTATTCATATCTCTATCATATCCCCCTTAAATGTAAAAGAACATTTATAAACCATATTTGGGAACATGGGCACAGTTTTTTCTCTCCAAGCTGCTTCCTGCTGAATGGGGGCATCGTTAATTAGGTTTTTCATGGTATAATCTGTGTGCCAGGGTCATCTCAGTTGGCAGTTGAGTGAAGTAATTTTTTGAGGGTGTTCACATCAACCTTTCAGGAGGGTGTGGTCTATCATACCAAACTGGAATAGAAGACATCCACAGGGTCTCATCCTCTGCCAAAACAAAAGAAGGACTTTTCCAAAGCATCATAATCTTAGATCCAAATTCTGAAGTCAAGATACCTTTAGAACATATGTGCAGGTTTAGCTTAGCAGCCCATATAATGAAATGTCTCTCTGTACTTAGCTCCTTCACAGTCAAAAATTTTAAAGAAAACACAATGTACATAATCCAGACTCTCTGTGAATTTTCCACTTTTATGTGACTTATTTTTCTTTATTTCTTTTAATCTCTTAACTATCTTTACTCTGTCTCTTTAAAGACTTTACCCTTTTTCTTAAAACCATTAACTTTATTCTCTATATTCTTTTTCTTCTCTCTCCCAAGCCTACGTACATTCATCCAACAGTATGACTCATTTAGTGGTCTGAGTTTGTCCTATTGTGATTCTGCAATTTTTTACTATCCAGGAGCACTTTTGATTTGCACCTTTAAGTCACTAGGCGCTTAAGAATCTAAGCTGTGACATTCCTAGGTCAAAAACAGGTACTGCCTGCTGGCCCTGCCCAGTCCAACATGGTGGAGCCGCTAGTGCCTCTGATCCTTGCACATTGCACCACTAGCATGGTGGAGCTGCTTGTGCCTCTGAGCCGCAGCAGGCAATGACTTCCTTTAAGGCACACAGCAAGTCTAGTTGCCACCAAACAAATCATAGCACTTTACTCCAAATGCTCCATTCAAAAGCTCTGTCTCCCGCAGGAGACAGATCGCAATGGCGGCACAGCCCAGAAAGCCGACATTTTAAAACAGCTAGTTTTTTCCTGCTGCTGAGTCAGGAAAATTTCAAAATGGAGGACATACCATTTTGTGCTAGCTCTGGGGCCGCCAGGTAGGAGCGGCACACAGCACTTTAATTCTGAGACTGAGCATGCAGCACAGAAATTCTTTTCATCCAAGTTACATCCAAATCTGACACGCAGAGCACTACGCAGTCCTAATCCACCATGTTCTCCCGCCTGCCTAAGCCTGATTCGGGTGTCTGCCCAGGTGTAGGTGGGGAGTGCTGAGCCATCAGCAAGGTCTCAGAGCACTCTCCTTCTGATCCCAAGCGGGAACACAAACATCCAGTCCCATAAAATCCATTGAAATGCTTTAAAGCCAGAGTTCACACTGGCAGCACAGCCCCTGGAAGCTGTGCTTTAAAATGACGCAGCTTTTTTTCTGCTGCTATTGCTGAATCAGGAAATCTCTCTACGGCACACCACCAACAAAGAGCAAGACTCTGTGTTAAACTCTGTTTTTTCTCTGTTTAAAATTAAGCTCTCTCAGGTTTTTAAGTGGATTTAGCCCATCACGTCTGGGCACCATCTGTAGTAATAGGAATGGCGGCGGGGCTGCGTCCCCAACACCCCAGCCGTCTGCTAGCTTATGCCTGAAATAACAACACACAATCTGTATTCATTTAAACACTGCTTGGCCCATTTCTATCTAGCCTCTTCTAGGCTAACTCTCACACCTGGACTAGCCCATTTCTAATATTCTATGTAGCACAGCTAGGTGCGCTTACCGGGAAGATTCTAGCCTATGTCCATCCCAGGAGCTGGGAGCATGGTTTCTCTCTGAGGCGTCTGCCCCCGAGAGGAGAGCTGTGGAGTCTGAGCTCACTTCCTCTTCCTCCTAGCATTCTGTTGTTTTCTCCACCCACCTGTGTTCTAACCTATGAGGGCCAGCCAAGCAGTTTCTTTATTTTTTTAACCAATGACCTTCCTCCATCACTATAGAATCATTTTAACCACATCAATGAATAATACACACAAGTCTAGATAGGACAAACATTTGCCATCAAGTCTTGGTCAGTGTAGCCTAAACTATTACATAGTCCAGAAAATAGTCAAATAAAAAGAAGGGACAGTAATTCTCTCTGCCTGTTGCATTGGTACTTTTCATTGAGGCCTTGGGGAACTGAGAACAGCTACAAAAATTCCCCATCACTAATGTGTGCAGTAATTTCTGTTGTTTAATATGTCCTATCAAGTCACATATGTCCTGTAACTCACTAGACCTTGAAAGAAGAGCACATTCATTCTTACCTTTTAAAGTAAGGAAAAGGCAAAGTTATAAAAGAAGAATACCTTTAATCTTCTAAAATACCCTCTGAATACTTGCAGCATTCATACATTCTTATTCATGCACACAGATACACAGACACACACACACACACACAGAGAGAGAGAGAGAGAGAGAGAGAGAGAGAGAGAGAGAGAGAGAGAGAGAGGAGGGGAGGGAGCAAGAGAGGGAGGGAGGGACAGAGGGAGAGATGACACATTTACATCCATGTATATGTATGTATATAATCATTTTATTATAATAGACTCAGATTAAAACATCACACAGCTCCATTAACATGGGCCCTCAAACATATGTCAAGTTTCAAACTCAGGCATCTCAACTAGCTTCTACACAGTTAGGATAGCCACAATGAAGCTGTGGAGTTTCAGTTATGGTTTTAGACTTTATATGCCAGTTAAATGAAGTACCACAGAGTTTAAGCTAGAAAACCAATTCTTTTCTAACATTTTTTCATAACTTGCATGCTCTTTGCTGCATCCTTTCCCTCCTTGTCACCTCATGTCAGTCTTCTTTGTTCTACTTTGTATGTGTTACATCATGATCACACTCACAGCTTTTCACACTGGCTGGGATTGCTTGTGACAGAGAACATGGGTCCCAATCTTTCTAAGTTTATGTGACTTCACTTAATTTCATGCTTTCCCACACACTTTCCTACAAATTTCATTTTTCTTTAAGACTGAAATATTATTCAATTTTGGATGTGTTCCACATTACTATGTATTCATCAGTACGTGCACATCCAGGTCAGGTCCATTTCCTTCTGTTGTAAATAGGGCAGCAATAAACATGGAAGGCCAGACTCTCTGTGGAAGGATGTGACAAGGAGTGACACTAATAAGTCACATAGCAGGTCTATTTTTATTTTCAATGAGGAACTTCCAAATTGCATGTATCAGTTTATATTCCCACCAGCAGTGAATAAGTGTTCCCATTTCTGCTCATGGTTCTAACATCTGTTGTTACATTTCTTCGTGATGGTCATTCTGGAGGTCCTCTCAGAAGAACAACCAATGTGTGTGTGTGTGTGTGTGTGTGTGTGTGTGTGTGAGTGTATGTGTGTGTAGTAGAGTTGTATGAAGGACTTGAACAATGTTTTAGTATCAAAGACCTATTTTAACCATATTTTGAAGGCTGACTTTTTTCTATAGCAAATCCAGGCAAATGAGAAGTTCTTTTTGTATTGTTAAGAAAAAAAAAAGAGCATGTGAAGGAGGGTTAAGAGAAAGAAAAGTGTAGGATTCCAGGAATCAGGAACATCCTTAATTGACTGTTGGCATAGAAATTATTTCCTTTTAGGGTTTGGTGTCTTTAGTCCCAACACTCAGGAGGCACAGCCAGGAAGGTTAACTATATATTCTAGACAAGTCTAGTCTACAGAGGAGTATCCAAGCAAGAAAGGGAGGTCATAGTGAGATTCTGTATCAAAACACAAAATAAAAGAAGAAAAAATTATCATTTCCCCAGAGTGCACTAGAAGTTTCTGAATTGGGGAACTTCCTGTTTGGAGGAGTCTCTCAGTGACTGGCCAGCACATATCACACAACTGAGATTTGTATAGCAAACCAAGACAGAAGACTTTGAAATGTTTATTATATTTCCTGAATTGTCTACATTTCAGTAGGAAAAGGAAAACTGGTCACTGAGTGCCCTGGACCTTGCTCTCCCACCTGCCCAACAGACTGGATTGGATTTGGAAGTCAATGTTTTCATTTTTCTGAACACACAAATAACTGGACATCCAGCCAGACCTCCTGCATGGCACTAGCGGCCCATCTAGCTCTATTTCGCAGTCTGGATGAGTTGGTAAGAAAGGAACAGGAATTGGTTTGTTGTTTGTTATGCTGAGTATATAATTCGTTGAAATATTGAACATAAGTCTGAAACATGAGGATGGATTCTACCCTAGACACTGGGGGACATAGGAACAAATTGATGTATGCCATTTGCTGATGTTATTGCTTCTGACTAAAACCCTGAGACATTCTAGAGACTGTTGATCATGTGGTGTTCATCATCAACCTGTAATGTGTAACATACAAACAACTGAGATATTTGGTGGTCATAAAACATTCACCGAAACTGGCAAGTATTGCATACTAAAGGTGATCACTGTTAATAATTGCCACGACAGGCTTAACAAGGGACTTTCCCAGCCGCAGTGGGACAGGTAGACATTCATATACTTTGGATTGTAGATTAAAATACATGCATTGAGAACTGAGGACTATTATGGCTCCAAGGTTGGTGACCCTCTGTTACACCGTTACCTTCCCAAAAGGAGTCTGTAGGGCAAAGACTCAAGGGTCATCTGAAACAGAGAGACACATTTTGTTTTGCTTTTTGTGTTTTATGACAGAATTTCCTGAAGAGATACAATGGTGATTCTGACTTCTGGATCGGCCTGTACAGAGAGTCACCAGAGCACCCTTGGATGTGGACAAACAACACTGAATATAACAACTTGTATGTTTGTAAACCACTTTTCCTTCTACTGTGTTCATGAGTTGTGATTGTGTGAGCTGTAACTATAAGAGAGGAAATCCTGAGTCATCTGGAGCCAACTATACTGGAAACGTAGAAAAACCCTTAGATTGAAGGAGTACCTCAGAGGTAGGGTGTATATTTACATGTAATAGTTTATCCCCAGGAAGTTCCACCTCCCTACAAATTTAATTTTTTTTCTCTGTGTTCCCATTTAATGGCCATCATTTTCAAAGTATTTACTTAGTTTGATGTCCATTGAAATCTTTCACAGGATTGTGGCGTCTGGGGTAGATGCCGTCTGCTCCATTACCAATTGAAATTTTTTCCTTGATGATAAATACTGCTGTTGGCTGTTTACATAAATGCAGATAGGCAGTGAGGGCTTTGAAACCCCAGAAAACCACGTTAGAAATGCTGGGTAGGTAGGACTAGTCAGACAGCTGTGTGCATGGATGCACCTGTACACAGAAGCAGAGACTCCAGGGACATTGGGAGCCTCTTCTAAAGTCTCATCATCAAAGAGCACTAAGACAATCCTAGACGTGGACAGAGCCATTTCAAATGGAGCCATTTCACTGGAACAGTAAGACACACCCAGTCCCATCCATCATTAAAGACCTTTCAAAAGTTTACTAACAATTGGATTTTCCCCACTTATATACTTGTGTAAAATACTCAAGACAGAATTGAAAAATTGCCCTTTTGAGGCCACACAGGGCAGCAGTTCATTTTAACATGACATCAAGCATCAGTCAAATGCCTTCTACACACTATATAGCGTTGATTGGGAGAAATGATAAAGATGTGGTCTTCAAACTGAACAAGAATGTAAAGAAAGTTCAGTCTAACTAGTACAGGTTATTCCTCATGGACTCTTCCTTTCTCTGATTCTTATTACAAATTAGCAGTGAAGATGGGTGAGATTTCGTTGCTTGATTGAATCAGTGTCAGTGTGTGCAAAATTGTGTGTGTTTGTTGTTTTAGGGTTCCTATCCGAGGAGGAGGAGAATGTGCCTACCTGAGTGACAGCGGAATCAGCAGTGGCAGGGGCTACACACGTAGGAAATGGATTTGTAGCAAGCCTAAAGCTACTCTTTAAAAGGGCCAGGGAAACTAACTTTCTCTCACAGTCAGGAGTCTCATAAAAATACTAAACTAATAGCTGTAATATACCTGCATAAGACCTGATGCTGACTCATGTAGTCCCTGCTCATGCTGATATGGTAAAGGAACCTCTTCTCTGAAGACTAGACTTTATAGTACTTGAACATTGTATGAAAGCTGGCAACAGAGGAAAATAGTGAATTGCCAATTCAGTTGTGATTCCTAGTTAGTTTCTAACCCTTGTGTCTGCTCTTGGGAAACTTTTGATCCTTTTGGGTGGCAAGGTCTAACACCAATGTGATAATTTTGTTTCATATCATTATATTTGATTTTGTAATTTTTTGTTATCTCTTATGGTCCTATTCTTCTCTAAAGAGAAAAAGAAAGAGAGTGGATCCCAGTGATAGGGAGGTTGGTAGGAACTGAGAAGGGTTGAGAGAGGGGAATCTTTAAACAGTGTTTATTGTATGAGAAAAGAATATATTTTCAATAAAAGGGGAAAAGTTCCTTCAAAAAAAATAAAAATAAATAAATAAATAAAAGGGCCAGGGATTTTAAATTCAGGGTAAGGAACGTGCCAGAGCATGCCTGAGAAAGAGATGCTCTGTGACCTCTTATCTACTGTTGCTGGTCCACTCCTGATCTACTAAAATTATCATCAAAATCCAATGATAATATGTGTTGACAGAAAAATTAAAATTTCACTGAGAGGTTTATATGTAAGGGTTCTTGGTAAAACATGGATGGTTTTAAATTAAATAGGTATTTGAGTAAAACCTAAAGTATAAGCATATGTATATTAGTGAGCTCCACTTTTATGACCAGATATGAACTTTTTTCATTGGTCCTTGCTTTGAACGCAGGGGACCTAAAAATGTGTGAAGACTAAATGCATGGAAATGATTCAATAATCACAAGAAATGTGGTACTTGGTCTGTAGTCCCTAAGTATTTTTGTACACATGGTCAATATTATTTTATAAAATTTAATAACCAATATGATGTTATATCTAGACAATATTAAAACCATTACTGTATACCTTGTGATTAACTCATCATGGACTTTGTCAAAATGTTTTACACTTTACTCCTCTGTGTTTCTGTTTAGTTACAGTGGACTAAGAGCATGATCCAACAAATGCCCTTTAACTTTCTTTATTCAACTTTTTTGAGCCTTTCCTACATGAGTATGCCATTCGAAGTTCGTTCTTTATTAGTTTCAGTCAAAAACAAACCTAATAAAACATAAGAAAGTTAATTAATGAACATTTTAAAATGCATTTGGTGCCTAGTTTTGCAATCATTTACATACAGTTGAGTTCTAAAAACAAAATAATTTAATTTTTTATCATTATACTGTACTGATGAGTCCTAAAATGGACTAAATAACAGATAAAAAGTCTACCTTTAGTCAATTCCGTCTTCTTTCTTTATTGCTATGTGGACTAAGCCTAATGATCTGAGATCGACCTGGACCTACGTGGTAGAAGGAGAAAACCAACCCCAGCAAGTTGTCCTGTGATGTCCACAGTTATGCTGTAGCCATACGCATATATACACAGAAAGAAGTAATAAAATTTTTTTAAGTTCAAATTTGATAGACTGTGCCCATTACATTTGTTTCATTGCTATTGTTATTGTTGTTGCTGCTGCTGTTATTTGCTTTTCGTTTTTGTTTTTTTGAGACAGGATCTTGATATGTAGATCTGGTTGTCCTGGCACGCACTATGTAGACCAGGCAGCCTAGAATTCACAGAGGTCTGCTTGCTTCTGCATCCCAAGTGCTGGGATTAAAGGCATAGACCACCATATCTGGCAATGGTTTTGCCTGTGTTGAGTCTGTATTATTAAATAAATACAAGCATATCTTATTTAGGAAAATACTTTTCTCAGTGTTTGTGTCCTATTTCATTAGTTCTTTTTGCTTTGAGGTTCGTTTTCTTTCAAATAAACTAATAGGAAAGTTCAATGTGACTCAATTTTGTATTCTCAGAGACCGGCACACTATGTAAAACACAGGAGTGTTCCAATCATATGCATAAGGATGATAGGGTCTCAGGTCTGTGGCTGTGAGAATCCTCTCTTGGGTTGTATTCAGCTCAGTTCTTCATAAAGAAACGTACTTTTCTACAAAAATAAATCAGAAAAACAAATGACTTTCTATCATTAAACTGTGTGTGGTTGTTGTGTGACAGACTTTCCTGGGGAGATGAAGAAACACATGTACTCATCTAAGATAGGCCAAAGTACAGATATTATACAACTCCAACCTGGTGAACTCAGAGATTTATAAGGATTATTTACAGGGAATATGGGTGAGGGCTTTCCTACAAGGTCAGAATTGGCACAGAGATGCTACATCACCAAAGTCCACTCCAACATGAGTGATCCCTCACAAAAGTTGTAGTCCTGGAACATAAAGAACAGGTTTATGGCAGCTCATTGGCTAAGAGAGTGTCTGCTTTAGTTACTTTTATTTTGCTGTGAAGAGACACCATGAACAAGGCAACTTATAGAAGTGAGTTTATTGCAAGCTTGACTAAAATTTCAGATGGTGGGGAGCAGGGCAGCAAGAAGGCAGGCAGACATGCTGTTGGAGCAGAAACTGAGAGCTCACAACTTGAGACAACAATCAAGAGGCAAAAAGAGAACACTACCAGGGGATGGTGTAGCTTTTGGAACACCAACCTCAGTGACCAAACTACTGAAATAAGTCTACACAACCTCCAACAAAGTCACATCTCCAATAAGGCTTTATCTTCTAATCCACCCCAAACAGTTTCACCAATGGTAGACCAAGCATACAAACACATGAGTCTATGGGAGTCATCCTAATTCAAATTCCAAAAGTGTCCTTTCCAGGGATTCAGTTGGTCCGTGCCTCTTCTAGGCCATCCTGCTGGTCTCTGCTTCTTCCAGGCAGCTGGGCTTGTCTGACAGTGACTCTCAGCAGTCACTTATTGCACGTACATTCTTGGGGAGGTGAGGACCTAAAAAATCTGGATGGTTTTAGGGATGCTCTGAAGCTATCTTGAGTGGTTTAACTTTTTGTTTTCCTAACTTCTCATAAAGGTTGCAATGGTCTCAGATGAAATTGCAGCATGACAAAATTAACTCACAAAAGTAATTTTATTGACATTGTTACCCTGACTTCTAAATCACATAACAACAAAATTATATTCTATTTATAATCCAGCACCTTGAGAAAATTTGTAGCCCCTAGTGCAGGGTTTCGTCATAGGATAACATGGGCCAATGGAGGCAGCATTACAAGCTTATCCATGAATTGTCTCACCAGACTCAGTAAATTTGTAAGGCCTAGATCATTGCATGTCCTATTATGGAGATGAAAATGAGAAGAGCAGCAACAATCTCCACTAGACTGTAATCTCTGCGGAACGCTACCACCACCTACAGGTCGCAGCTGTTCAAGCTTTCTTCTCACAGTCAGGGGAAATCCCCACTAGACGAATGAAACGATATTTGAGTTTTGTTGTTTTCCTGGCTGCTGATTAACAGTATGTATGCTTCTATCATGCAAGGCAACAACAGTGAGCTACAGAACCCAGACAGTCACATGTTCACAGTGTTCCCTGTGTCTAGCATTGTTTAGATGCAGTTAGTGAACACATTCAGGAGATAGAAAATTTATATGGTTAGAAGTGCTATGAGCAGTGGGATTATGCAGCAATTATTCATCCATCATTTCATAAGGTCAACCCATGAGAATCAAGGATTCAGTTGGAGGATGTAAACCAAGATATAAGGTTGTTGGGGTTATTGCCTTTTGATTGGACTGGCTGTAGATTTCTCCTGTAGCTTATTCCCATGTGTTACAAATTTGGGGTATATTTCCCACAGTTCAGCACTATTTGATCATTTATTGGGCACAATTTTCCCTATAATTTGGGGTATACTGATAACATCTCCTAGCTTTATTTACGTGAAAGCAGTCACACAGTCCAAAAACCTGTTTCCCACTTTGTTCCTTCTTCCCATGTAAACATAGAGTTCTGTCTTTCTAAATTATCTTTATTGGCAGCATTTAGTCAGTGTTAAGTCTCCAGGGGAAAGTATTTCATTTAAGACATCCGCAGATATCAAATGACATAGAATTACTACATGCATAAAACTGTTGATTCATAGCTGTCCACATAAGTAAACAAAAATCAGCATGCCCTGATTTTACCTTGCTTGCAGATAAGAGATGTGATGATCACTTAGTTTCACTGGTAAATGCCTTAACTGGACCCTGAAAAGGTCTGAGGGGCTGGATTCACAAAGACCCCATTTTTAGGCTGTATGCAGCCTTTAATTTCATCACTTGAAAGGCACAAAGATTTCTATGAGTTCAAAGCCAGCCTGGTCTACATAGTGAGTTCCAGGACATCCAGGGCTACATAATGAGACTTTTTCCTGAAGAAAAAACAGGAAAAGAAACAAACAATACCATTTTTATTTTAATACTCTAACTTAAAAGCAAAAACAGACTAAGGGACTGGAGAGATGGCTCAGTAGCTAAGAGGCCAAGCTGCTCTTGCAAAGGAATCAGTTTTGGTTCCTAACACTCCATGGTAGCACATAAACACCCTTACTCAAGTGTCAGGGAATCCAGTGCCGTCTTCTTCCAACCTCAGCAGACATGTTCTACAGACAGACAGACAAACAGACATACACACACACAAGCAACTATACACATAAATATAAAATAAATAAACCTAAAAATAGAAAAATAAGCTTAAAATAACAACAACGTGAATCTCAATCATAGATCTAAAAACTGGAGAGAGGTTTGGAACATCTTGTTGGACTATAATTTACAGTATGACCTTGTTTCTTTTGGAAGTTAAAAGGCAAAATCTTCTTTGGTCTAACCATCTGTACAGACTACCTGCTTCCCATGAAGAGTCCCATCCTCCATCTTCAGACCCAACAGTGTAGCATCTTTAACTTTTTCTCTGATGTTCTGTGTCTCTCTTGAGGAATTACATGATCA